ACGAAGGAAAAAAGATACCTTACTAATTGTTTCAAAAAGAGTTGTTGACTACTAATGTGGTAAAGATGAAACAAGTCAGTGGCGGAGCCAAGATTTGTATCTATGGGGGCCAATATTTGTTAACACTAAAACAAACCAATAATTAGATGGAAAAAAATACTTTAAAAAGTGCAAAAAACAAAGTCGAACACATGCCAGGTGGTCAATCACTCAATTTCAATACTAAATCATCCAAATGCCACTAACAAATACATGGATAAACAACATTTTATAAATTTTGTGGGGTCAGCCGGACCATCTCCTCCTTACCTAGCTCCGCCCCTGAACAAGGTGATTTTGACTAAAGGCATTGATGCATGTTGATTACTTCTAGAAAATCGAACTTTTGGCTTGATCGGGAATCCATACGTTATTGATTCATATAACTCAACAGTAATCTGCTTGAGAAGATTAAATGACAATGATTGAAGGCAATCCATACCTTTCTGATTCATGTAAGGCCTAAATCTCTTCAATGGCATATAAAAGTTTATCCTGACTTTCAAGCTTTATATGTTGATGATCCTGCTTTGGACATATGATTAGCTTCTTTCCGAGTGATCCTGTTTTAGACTTACCCTTTAGCTTCGATTTCACTCTCTTTTTGGCCCATACTCGATCTTGTTATATGTATTATTTTCTTCTTCAACTTCAAGAGGATTGGATCATGTATTATTGCAAACCCTCAAATAGAGAATATATATCTTTTTCCTTTAAAACGTTGAAAGCTTACAAATTTGGGAAAAACACAATCAGAGAGGTCCGTAAAGAGGGAAGCCAAGCACACTAGAGATATGCTTATAATAAGCAAAAAGTAAAACTGGGAAAGATATACTACTACTACAAACTGAAGATTTTAAATCCCTCAGAGAGAGGACTTTTCTGGCAGATCAGCAAAGTAAGGATGCTCCATAGCCATCTTTGCTGAGATTCGTTTCGCTGGCTCGTACTGCAGCATTTTCTGTTCCAGGAAGATTAATAACGCAAATTTAGTTCATCTGTTGAGTGTGTCCCCATTTGTCAACTAATCAAAAAACCTTGTACTTACCGAGAGAAGATCAAGTCCATCCTCATCGAGGTTTGGAATAGATGAGGAGAGGCTCAACGGTTTCCATTGTGGGTATTCGTGCCAGTTCTTGAGCGTGCTCACTCCTGGCCACATTTCTTCATTGGGTGTCCCGAGCAACCTGAGTTTTCACAGAGCGTCGCACAATTTAAAACGAGATGTGTTGTGTATATTAAGTATAAGGGTGTGGAAATGGGAAAAAAAAGACTTACCTGAAAATATGGAGGAGCTGTTGGAGCTCGGAGTCTCCAGCAAAGATTGCTTGGTTGGTCACAAGTTCAGCTACAAATGGTAAARAAACAATGTTACTTTGTTGTAGTTTTATAACTTAAGAAGATTGATAATGAAGTGAATCCACAGAGAATACGTACCAAATATGCAGCCAACAGACCACATATCCACAGCAGTAGAGTAATGAGTGGCCCCAAGAAGAACTTCTGGAGCTCTATACCATAGAGTTAATATCTGTTGCAATGAACACCCAAATTAAAAAAAAAAAAATACAGAAGTTCTTAAGGTCATACAATCTAGGACTCTACGATAAACAATGGATTGTGTTTAAAAACAACATAATTAGAATACCTCATGGGTATACTTCTTCATTGGAAGAGTGAAGGCTCTGGCTAAACCAAGATCTGCTATTTTGAGCCTCATTGTCTTCGGATCCATCAAGAGATTGTGAGGCTTAAGATCCCTGTAATGAAGCACCGGGGGAAGTAGTAAGACAGGAGATCTCAAATCATTCTCAATTAAAACAGGGGAAAACAAGAGACCAATTTACCTGTGCAATATCCCGTGACCATGGCAGAATGACATTCCTTTGCAGAGTTGGTACATCAAACTCTGAGAATAATTACAGAAAGTTGAATTTGGTTTAGCAAGCACAAATGATATGAAAGAAAGATGACTAAGAACACAAAAGAAGAAGGATCCAGCCTCCAGTGGTACAACAAACCTTGATAGTTTGAGGTGGAATATTTCCTCCAGCCTGACGGAAACTTCTGATGTATTTCTTGACATCAGTGTCCATGTACTCGAAAACCAGGTACAGCACAGTTTTTCCTTCTTTGCTCAGTCCTTGCTTAACGTCCATCAACCTGAGAAAGAAGATGACAATCATCAGGTTCTGGGTTAGAATCAAGAGATATTTGATTTTTGCTGAAACTGGGATCGAGATACAGTGACTATGATCTAAATGAAATGAGATCAAACTCTAAGAAACATCTACCAACAAGCTAAATCACATAACTGGAATTGAAATTCAAACTGAGATCCAACCTGCTGAAACTGGGATCGAGATGCAGAGATCGATATAATTAAGGTCATATGAACATGAATTATCTTGAACGAAGAACCCAAAATGAGATCAAACTGTAGGAAACACCAATCAGCAATTCCTCATAGCTAAATCACACAATCTGGTATTGAAATTGAAATTGAGATCCAACATCTACCCAGATACTAACGAAGACACAATGAGGAAACCCTAATCCCGCAAATCGAAAGAGACAACAACGAGAAAAAATGGGGAAATTTCAACGAAAACAGAGGTTAAACCCTAAACCTGACGATGTGAGGATCACGAGCGAGCATGCGCAAGATAGAGATCTCGCGGAGAGTGGTTGAAGGAACACCTTCTTCGTCTTCATGGAGACGAGTCTTCTTAAGAGCGACGATTTTACCAGTAGCTTTCTCTCTGGCTCTGTAAACTTTCCCGTATGTCCCTTCCCCAACTTTCTCAAGCTTCTCGAATGCATCCATGGCCGAAACAGCGATAACTTCCTTATCCATT